ATCAAGCCTGTCCTCAAACGCGCTGTGGGTTGTTCCGCCCCGTGCAGGCTGGGCTGGGTGACCACCCCGTGCTGCAGTACCCTACGCCACGAAGCACAAATCCGGGCGAATTTGGTTTGGCCAGTTAAGAGTTACCTGGCTCTGTCCACGGACGGGGCTGGAGCCCACTCGCTTTTCCCCCCTTAGCCTTTACGGATGGTTCTGTTGTGTCACTCGGGCGCCGCTTTTCCAGCCCCGTCCCGTCCGACGGGCTCCTCCTCCACCTGAATCTTTGCCCTTGCTCGCAGAGGAGCTGGCGGGCGCTCGGCCACGCGTCCCTTCCCGCCCCCACCTTGCCCCGTGTTGCCTGCGAATCGCAAGGCTGTCCTTTTGTGTCGAGCGGTGCCCAGCAGCACCATATGGCAGACAACACCACAGCAGGCTTGATTATTATTAATGAAGGTAGTGGTTTATACGGCGATAATGCCCAAGACGTGCTGAAATGATTTATCTTGGAAGGAGAAAGAGTTTCTCCGCCGTACTCGAGTACGTGAAAAGGGCCACAGGAGTGGTTGTGTCACAGCTGACCACACGTAATCCATCTTTGGAGCAGTTGGCCGTGGAGGAGTGAAGCCAAGCAGAGCGCTGACAATGCAGGCCTGCAGAAGGAGGTGACCAGGGACCGTAGGGAAGTCCTCTGAGGCCTGAGCTTTTACATTTTTGCTCAATAGACTTGCAAAACGTGGCCCAGGGGCCGGGCACGGGGGCTCTTTGTGTTTCTCTGTGCCGTGGGGCTCCTGCTCTGCTCTACCGACACAGCCACCCCCCCGTGGCCGCTCGCCCCTCCAGGGCATCCAGACCTGGGGACGGTTCTGCGCTGGCCGCTGGGGTGGGTGCAGGTACCCAGTTCTGGGGTCGGGGCGGTGGGCTCTGCCGGGGAGAGGTGGTACCCAAGAGCCGGTGCCGGCAGCGCGGTAACTCCTGCGGTGTTTGGGAATCTTTTGCAGCCCCCTGATGTTGAACGACAGCAGTTCAGCACATTCCATGCCGAAATACAGTCGCCAGTACTCCTTGGAGCACGTCCACGGCTCATCCCCCTACGCAGTAAGTACGCCGTGCGCGCCCGGCCGTGGAGAGGGGGGCGAGGACACGGCTTCGTGGGGAGGGACCCATTTTAGGCTCCTGCCCAGCTGGCCTTGCCTCCGCGCCACCGTTTGCTCACAACCTCTTTGGTTTGGCGCAGAATTCTCGCCGAGCCAACAGGGAGCTGGTAACTTGGCGACCAGGGTGATGGGGCCGAGGATCTGGCTTGCAGACCAAGCGAGGAGCTGCCTGCACTCCACCCAAGCAGAGATGGGTGGAAGTGGTGCCTTCTTGCTTAGCGTTCATCTGCTGGCTTTGGTCCACGCTTTGGGCTCGTCGCAAACAGAACTCATCTGGTGTCAGTCAGTCCCTGCTCGTATTGCCTAATTAATGTCTGACCACCTCTAATGAGCGTGGTTCCCTCCAAAGAAGCCTCCTGTCGGTCAGGGAAGGTGCCGTGGGTCAGAGTCTGGCTGGGACACAGGCCTGAAGTAGCAAAGACCCAAATGATCAGAGCTGAATTGTGTCCGTGGAGGCAGGGAGCGGGGTGGGAAGAGAGGAGCAAAGCCAGCTGGTGCTCGTGCACAGCATAACCACGTAATGGCCACGCAAGTGAGCTCGCGTGGTATCAAAGCCTGGAGGCGAGAGGCATCTGGAGCAGGCAGCGGCTTTGGAGGTGAAGGGATCTCCTGCCGGACATCGTCAGCGGACGGTCCAGCAGAAACCAGCTCGTCGTTGGAGGCGGATGTTGTTTCCCTCAGTAAATTTGCAGACGACACCAAACTGGGTGGCAGTGTTGATCTGCTTGAGGGGAGGAGGGCTCTGCAGAGAGACCTGGCCAGGCTGGATCGATGGGCCGAGGCCAACTGCATGAGGTTCAACAAGGCCAAGGGCCGGGTCCTGCACTTGGGTCACAACAACCCCATGCAGCGCTACAGGCTCGGGGCAGAGTGGCTGGAAAGCTGCCTGGTGGAAAAGGACCTGGGGGTACTGGTTGACAGCCGGCTGAATATGAGCCAGCAGGGTGCCCAGGTGGCC